AAGACATCTTTAGAGAACGTTCTACATCCTGAGGATATCTTCAGGATGTTTTTTAGATAAAGTATAGACACAGTTAATTTTTCTTCTCTTTTTCTTCACGTTAAAGAAAAACAGAGGAAAGATAAATGGTGCAAAAAGTTCAATTAAATTATATTTTCAAGCAGGAGACATAGTGGTTCTTTTCAGCAGAAAAAGTGCTTAGTGATTCTTTAATATGATTAAGTCCTACATTTAGATCCAGTGAAGAACTAAAGCAAAAACTTATATTAAATTAAACGCTCATTGGTTCTCTTTGCCGAATGCAGCCAGTATAAGGGTGCTTTTTCATACTGACGCTCGACGCTCACTTTCAGCGTCAAAACAGGTCATGTGATCAAAATTGACGAATACTAAGCATCAATTTTGATCACATGACCTGTTTTGACGCTGAAAATGAGCGTCAAGCGTCAGCATGAAAAAGCACTCTAACAGTGGTCATTTTAACATTGATAAACAACGAGGGTATAATAGTTGCTTTTTATTTTCACACAAATGACTGTAATCTAAAGTTATATATTTTACATTCTGATAATGATGTTATTGCTTGCTTAACAAAGTTATCGCATAATAACACAGGTTTATGATCTTACTTTTAATATGAATTAACAAGACTCATTAAAACACACGAGCTTGTACAGATTGTAGATAAAAACAATTGAATCTTATATGTCACAATGAGAAGCAACATACGATATCAACTGAGATCACAAATGAGAATTATCCAAGTTTTAGTTTAAATGGAAAGGAACTACTGATTCACTAGGTTACATGTCACCTGTCTCTTGCCAGAAAGCACCCATAAAGAACATACCTAAAGTAGTAAGAAAGAGCTCTCTTTCGGAGCCTTCTTTTCCTTCTAGAAACAATGTACAATACCTCGCTCTGTTATGCCAGTGCAGATCACGTGTTATCTCCGTGCACACGGTACCGACCAAAAAAAAAAAGATATTTTTGAAGTAGTCTTCAAATGAAGAGAGTCCTTTCAATCTTTCCTTTATTTAGGTTATACACGGCACAGGGTCACGCGCGATGAAAGGCGACGTCCACGATAGTCCACGATTACTGCAATTGAGAGGCTGTGGCATGAGGAACACGCGGGGCGTGAATGTGCGGGCGTGAAAGCGTGAGTTTTTTTTCAGGATGGCGTTCGATTTGACCTGCTTGAGTACGGGACGTCGGTGGGGCATTCTTACCTTGGTCGCGCGGTATTGCGAGGCCTGCGCGGGGCCTCAGCGGAGACTCAAGACTCTAACGAGGCTCCAAGGCAGTCGGCGTCACCCGCGATGCTGACGTTTCTCTCAAGTCGCCGAGCGTGACGAGACTCGGCGAACTCGGGGACTCGTGTCCTCCACGACGGACGGCGCTTGGCCACACGAACTCTGCACTCCGGTCTGACGCGAGAAACACGTCTCGGATTCCTTAAATCCTCGCTCTAGGATCACTCTAGGACACTCTAGGCCAGTTCGTGGCGCAGGCAATACCGCAAGTCCACCACCCGGTCGTCGCGCAATCGTCGCGAGATTCGAGAAGAACAAAGCACGAACGTCGAGATGGAGAGTAGAGAGTCGAGAGAAAACGCACGTCCGTTTTACGTCCGTAGGTTTGACCAATATTGCTAGATAGGCGTGCGAATACGCTCGTTTATGAATGGATATGTCAGGAACCGACCAATCGGGATCACCCTCTACTGAGCGGTTAGGGTGATGTCCCATGCAGCGGATCGTGCGTAAGCGGATTCGCGTATCGCCAATCACAGA